AGCCCTGAGACAGGCTGAGGGTTTTCCATCTGCAAGCCACAGACTCACTTATTCGACAAATATTTATAAGCTCCAGCTATGTGCTAAGCACTCATAGGTGCTGGACACACAGCAATAAGCAAGGCAGCTCCGCCCACGCTGCTCTTCCATTCTGGTGCCTATGTGGGCAATGAGAGGAGGATCAATAAACATCTACTGTTACAAAAGGGTAGAGGCATCTCAGTTGCCATGGCAACAGTTGCTGGGCGATGACGTCAAGCAAGCCCCAAACAGTGGTTACAACCTGATCTAAAGGCACTTAGGAGTTGCTGGGAGGTTATTCCCTTGGGAAAACTGTTGATTGGAAAAAATCACTGAAGATGTATGGCATGTTCAAGTAACAAGGAAAGAGGAAGCAAGGAGGGCAGAAGGGTGAATAAGGCCACTGCCTCAAGCACATGAAGCAGCCCCTGAAGGGTGGGCAGTAGGGAAAGAGCCAGGGCGAAGCCTGCTTTGAATTCTTGCCCAGGTCAGAACCAGGAAGGAGGGTGGAGACTTTAGAGCAGGGTTTCCAAAAAGGCATTCCATGGAGCACCAGCGCAGACAGATGCTCTGTGGAGAAAAGGGGGTTCTGTAGTCAGTTTAGCAATGATACCTATTCTATTACTGTGTGGGAGATCCTCAAAGTATATTGGCATAATAAACATTCTACGAAGTCCTGCAGCAAAGAATCCCATCTAGCCTATCCCAGCATTTCCCAAACCCTTTCTAACACCTAACATCCCTATGGCACTCTACAGAACATTCTAGAAGACATACTGCTTTAGAGCAATAGAAGACCAGGGTGATGTGAAAAAGAGACACTTCTCAAGCCTGGAGATGAGACCTGGGTTATAGGAGATAGTGACAGGTGAGAAGTGGGACTGGAAGGGCTGTAGTTATGTATCCCATGGCTTCAAACAATTTGTGAATTGTCTGTTATTATGCCTAATTAACATTGATGTTCAATTCATTTTACAGAGTTATGTAAAACCAAGCTTCACAGAAAAAGCTTGTACAGAAAAGCTGACTCAGTATCTCTGAGTTAAGTATATCTTCACAGAGGAGGAGCTGCAAACTGAGGCCCTGCCCAGACACTCCATCCACCTGGTATAGCTTGCCTGCTTCCAAGTTATCAGCCTGGCAAACTCATGGTACCAAGCGGGGACAAATGTCATAGTCCTCCTGGGAAATGGGCAACAGTGAATTTTGCTAATAAGGTGGAAAGTAATTTTTAAGTGATATTTGGATTAAAATTGTGATTTTTAAAACATTATTATATCTGCTCTTTCATTGTATTGTGTTAATCCACTGAGGCATATTTGGCTCCTACAGAAACTGAGGATCACATTACTTAAGTGACTTGCGCAAGGTCACACAGTGATACAGCCTAGATTAGAACTCCTGTCTTAGGACTCTCTGTTCAGTGATTTTCCCACTGTCCAAGAAGAGACTACCCTATAGACCCTTTCAATGTGATCCAAGGCTTATGTCTCATTCATTCAACAAATATTTATTGAGCACCTACAATGAATGAGTCAGGCTCTGATCTAGGCATAGGAATATAGCAGTGAACGAACCAAAACCTCTGCTCTCATGGAGCTTGCATTGTAGTGGGCAAGACAGATGACTGTCATAAATGGAATATGACAGGTGTAGTAAGTGTTTGAAGAGAAATAAATCAGGATAAGGAATTGGAGATTGATGGGGAGACTTTCTGGTGAAGAGCTTTTTGAGTAAAGACTAAATGAAGTGGGGAAGTGGCCCATGCAGAAATCTGGAGAAGAGAGATCCAGGAGAACAAGTGGCAGGTGCAAAGGCCCTGGGACAGAAGTGCACAGTACAGCCTCAAGGTCAATGTGGTGAGGGTGAAATATGAAGGTGAGAAAGGCAGCAGGGCCAGACCACACAGGGCATTAAGGTGAGGATGGTGATAGAATGTAAATTATATATTTGACCTGTTACTCTGTCACTCAGAGTGCCCTTTCACCGCACTGTGAGTCATGACAGCTCTTGCATCCAGGAACTGTTCTGAGGTCTGTGATGGGGAGAAGTGAAGCTTGGCTGTGGGTTTAGACATAAGGTGCTTCAAGAGTAAACTGCTGTTTAGAGGTGGGTTGCTAAGAGGACACCTGCCCCAACTCCTCAGGTCTCATAGAATTTTTCCAGGTAGACCCTGGCCTTGAGAAAAAGATGGGGGTGGGTGGAAAATCATTCCTCCCTCAGCAGGCAGCTGAGAAGCGTGAGGTACGAGTGAAAAGGGGCAGACCACAGCCCTCTTGGCCCCTAAGGAACTCAGGAGTGAGACCTCCAGGAAGGAGATCAAATGCTACCGCCCCTTCCAGCCAGCCCTGCTCTAGCGTCAATTCCTTGTTCCTGATGTGCTCCAAATCTGGGCCGTTGTTTATTCTCTTGCAAATCTTAGCAGCACCTTTTCCCAGCATGCTCTGAGACAAGGGTGGGAAGAGCAGCCTTGCCTAACAAATCACGACCGTCATAATTTATTCATCGCCAGCGACAGGCAGGCATGGCCCTCTCTGTCCCATCAGTAGCATCTCCTATATGCCTTATGACACCTCTACACTGCTGGCATTATGTTTGCTATTTTGCAGATGAGGAAACTGAGACCCAGGGATGGTAACTAACCTGGCCAAGGCCACACAGCAAGTAAGTGGCAGATTCAAGACTCAAACCCAGATTGTTAAAATAACACTGTCAAGTCTCTTTGTCTGTCTTCATGGCCTTTTGCTTTTTTTTTTTTCCTTTTGAGACAGAGTCTCACTTTGTTGCCCAGACTGGAGTGCAGTGGCGCAATCTCGGCTCACTGCAACCTCCTCCTCCTGGGTTCAAGCGATTCTCCTGCCTCAGCCTCCACAGTAGCTGGGATTACAGGCGCCCACAATTATGCCAGGCTGACTTTTGCATTATTAGTAGAGACAGGCTTTCACCATGTTGGCAAGGCTGGCCTTGAACTCCTGACCCCAGGTGATCCGCTGACCTCGGCCTCCCAAAGTGCTGGGATTACAGGCATGAGCCACCACACCTGGCCTGCTCTTCCTTCTTATACCCCTTATTCGTCCCTTATGTTTGTGTAGCATTTAACAGTTTGCAAAGTGTTTGCAAAGTCTCAGTATCTTCCACCTTGTGTTCAGTTTCTCTGCTTTCAATATCAGCACCCTTGTTTGTCTCCTCCCTCTTCCCCTTCTATGTCTAAGGTCCTTCTGGATAGAGCATGTGTCTTGCTCGGTTTTAGCCCAAATCCTTTCCCCCAAGCACTGTGCACAGGGCAGGCCCTTAACACGTGTCTGAGGAATTAATGCATTGGGACTCTAGGGTCAGACTGCCTGAATTTAAATCCTGATTGCCACTTACAAGCTGTGTTACCTTGGGTAACTTAAGTTACTTAACCTCCCTGTGCCTGGGTTTCTTCATCTGTTATTCTTATCAGAATTAAAGAGTTAGTTCCTGGCATAGGATCAACACTATGTAAATATTTGTTAAATAAGTTCTACATTTATCTTCCTTTTTCTCTCACAAAGTTCTACATTTATCTTCTTTTTTCTCTCATTTTAACTTAATGATAATAGCTAACACTTATATAGCACTATCATATGCCTGGTCCCATCGCAAGCACTGTCCAGACCTTAACTCCAGGCCTGAATCTGCCTCCTGCACTTGAACAAGCCCCAGGCTGGGTGTCACTTAGTGGTCATTGGGTGGGCAAGAGTCTCATGAGTGACATGGAGGGGCCATCTCCCACAGGACCCAGGGATTAGCAGACCTGGATGGAGGTTGGCCTGGCTATGGGTTCTGAGCATCTAAGAAGGTTACAGACCCTCAGCTGCAAAGAAAGGGCCATAAAAGTGACCAGACGGTGAGCAGGCCCTACAGGGCACCGCTTCAATGTGCCTATTTGCCAGATGACCCACACATGAGACACTGTAAAACCAAGATTCAACAACTATAAACCTCCACGAGGGCTTTGCAGTAAACCTTCTAAAATGGGCATAAACATGAATGCACCCATGCTGTTTGCCTGGGCAGGCAACTTACTCACAAATGGGCTGCCTTAAGAGATATAAAACAGGCTGACTCGTCCTTTTTATGTCCCTGTACATATTTGTTTTGAAGGTAGAGATCATTTCCTGTTTCAGTGCACATTTGAAATGGACATTCCCTGAGGGTGGGTGGAGTAGCGACTGAGAGATAATAGGAGGGACTTCTAGTAATATTCCATTTCTTGACCTGGGAGCTGCTTTCATGAATGCACTCAGTTACAGCCTATACCTATGCTCAGTGTGCTTTTTATATATGTGTATAATACTTCAATAAAATGTTTTAAAATGTATGCATTCTCCAGTATTGCAGTGTTTGCGATGGGGAAACAATGGACACAGCCCAAAAGACCATAAAATAAATGAAGTCACATCTGTAGCCACTAAAAATAATGAGCTAGAGATATAGGAATGATGTAGAAAGATGTTAAGATATAATGTTAAGTGAAAAAAAGGAGTTACAGAGCAGAGAGTATTATCTCATATCTGAAAAGAACATTGAACGTATCAGATAACCATTTGACCATTTGAACCTGCAATTTCATGTGGTTCATCAAATACACACACAGTATACATGACACATACATAAGCTTGTAAGAAAAATAACCTGAAAAAATACATCTTGAGTTGTTAAGAAGGTAGAGCAAGTTTTCAGTTTCTGTGTTATTTACATTTATGTGTCTCTTTCATTTTAATTTAATTTTTTGTAATGACCTGGTATTACTTTAGTGATGAGCAAAAACATAATCACAAAGATATAACTTTAAAAAAAAAACACCCTCTCCTTCCTCAGTGCTGTAGACCTGGGCAGTGAATCAAGATTGAGTGTGAACTCTTAGGTGTTCTCCGATCCCAAATTCTAAGATTCCAGCAGAAATAACCCCAAGTCTGAGTGAAGTTCAGTGGTAGCACTTGAAACAAACATACCTGTAAAATTTTGGAGTAACTGATCACAATGACCAGTCCTGGCACCAAGAAGTTCAAAGTAACAAAAGACACGTCCCACGAGATCTCTCCAGCAATGGTGGGCCAAATCAGTGTGCAAATCGAAATTTCCTGGTTACAAAAAGGAAAAGAACATCATGTAAATGCTGGCTTCTTACTGGCCTCTGGCTCAGTCTTACTGAGGGTTTCCTGACACGTGGTTGCATTTCCCAGTTACACAACTAGCATGACACTGAACCCCAGAATCCCTCCCACTGCCCACCACAATTCACTTACAAAGCACTTGCCCCTGACCCTCAGAATAGCCACGATTGTGTTTCCCGTTCTCCAGGGACAGCAGCTGAGCCTCAGGCTTACAGGGTGCTAAGAGTTAGAGTCGGTTCCCAGGTGTGGTCTTTCTATTTCCCCGGGCTGACATGCAAAGGGCTTTTGAGCCTTCTCTTCCAAGCCTGCCATTTTACAACAAAGAAAACTGACCCCTGAAAGGTTACAGAGATTGGAAAGGACATGCTACATAACAAACACATTGAAACAGGAACTAGGTTTCCCTGTAATCATACTGTGTAAGCCGAAGGCCACAGGGTCTGTGCTAAAGCATTAAGTGTTCACGCTGAGGGTGCTCAGGTGTCTAAAGTGTGTCGAGCTGCGTCAACCTGGCCGTCTAGAGCCCCAAGGCAAAGATCAGCCTCCACTCACAGTTCAAGATGTAAAACCAATGGAATATGGCAGAAGAGTGTGAAGGTTCGTGATCTTGCTGCTATCACTAGGTTGTATTGATTCAAATGTTTAACACTAACTGTGAGAACTGAAACATATGGAGACCTTACTGAATAGTTACAAATAGTTTCTGCAACAATTTCATCCAATGAATAAATAGGCCAATGAAAACAGACATATATCTGTGTGTGTGTGTGTGTGTGTGTACTAACTCCCCACATATAAAATTCCTATGCCCAATTGACTACAGAAACAAAACTGTTTAGAAAACAAGTGGCCCTAACACATGCATATAGAAGAGATTTTTAAGAGCACATGCTGTGTAAAAAGACCACGTTACTGATTTTGAAGGGCCAAGGCATCTTAACCAATGTCTAGGAGTAGCATTAGCATCCGAAATACCGTTCATTCATTCATTCACTTGACCAATATTCATTGAATGCTCTACTAGGCCAAAAGCAGAGAATTTTTAACAGTGCATCAAGACGGGGCTGGTGTGAACACATGGTAGGGGGAAGTTTATTAAAGCTTCACACATTTCGGTAATTGGAAAGAAACCTGCTTTTTTTTTTTTTTTTTTTTTTTTTTTTTTTTGAGACAGAGTCTCGCTTTGTTGCCAGTCTGGAGGTCTAGAGTGCAGTGGCGTGATCTCGGCTCACTGCAACCTCCGCCTCCCGGTTCAAGTGATTCTCCTGCCTCGCCTCAGCCTCCCAAGTAGCTGGGACCACAGGCGTGCACCACCATGACCAGCTAATTTTTTTTTTGTATTTTTTAGTAGACAAGGGGTTTCACCATGTTAGCCAGAATGATCTCGATTTCTGACCTTGTGATCTACCTGTCTTGGCCCCCCAAAGTGCTGTGATTACAGGTGTGAGCCACCACACCCGGCCAGAAACCTGTTTCTTTCAAGGATCTTCTGATCACTGGCAGTGAGGCTACCACTGCTTTCTAGAACACTCACACCACCCTCTTTTGTACTCAGGCTTCTGCCCACTATGGACCCCTCGTTCCAAGACAGCAGTATGAGCAGATACACTAAAGCACCAATCAGAAGAAATGGATTCCAGCCCTGAATGTGACTTGGTCTCTAATTCCTGTTCCTGCGATGGAAAAATTTTAAGGGACAGTAGAAAAACAGAGGACGCCCAGAAGCTTTTCTTAAGACCCCCAACTCTTTCCAAAAGCCTTTTCCAGAATGTCTGCCAAAATCTCTCCAGGGTTAGCAAGACTTTTGTGGAGGATATAATGATAGAGCAAGGTGTTCTCTCTACAGTAGGAATGAAAGAAAAAAGGCAGGTCCCTAAACCATGTGCTTCTCTGATCCTGGTGTGTTGAAGAGAATGTATATGTGTGAATGAGTATATGGCCATCCAACACACACACTCTTTTGCACATACACTCACATGCTTGCATGCACAGAAAAAAACATGGACGGATACAATCCAGAAAGTGAAGTGTCTATTTCTAGGCGGGACTCTCAAATTGTTTTTATTCTTGTGGCTTATCTGAATTTCCTAATTTTCCGTGATGTGCCTGTATTACTTTTATAAAAGAAAAAAGTTGATTTATAAGTGAAATGATGATCAAACATGAAACACAGACCACCATGATAGTTCTGCCAACTTGACCAGCTATTTTTCTACAGAGACAACGAACCTGTCCCAGGAAGCTCCCAAATTCCGTGACTTGAATAAAGACGTTCTCTCACCTTTTGATTTGTGGCTATTGCTCAGGGCAGGAAGTGTGATAAGGAAGTAAGATAAGAACTCTGCCCAACACCCTCACACATGGACTGAGAGGCAGTGCAACTGACTTGGGGGCCTAAATGATGGATTGGTATGTTCTTTAGAAGGTTTTATATGGTATTGTTGACTAAATGCACTGTCTGGTCTCATTAAAAAATAAAATAACAGGTGCCATGCCCACAGAGATCCAAGTTGGTGTCATAAGTTGGTTTCTGTGGGAAAATCCATTTGGTTTAAGTCATTTTGATTCTAGATATTATTCCGCAGGCTGTGACATGTAGAGGAGTTAGGCAGTATGTCAAGTCTGTAAGGTAGGGGTGTGAGTCTTATCATATTCTCTGTACTTTTTCTGCACATGTGAAATGTCTCCTGATTTTAAAAAGGGAACTTGGAAAACAAAAGTGGCAGGTCTGCCTTGTTACTGAGTTACAGAAGCGGAATTGGCAGAGTCAACAATAGTCTTCTTTAATTCATTTGCTCAACCACCTGACTCCAGACATGGTGGCTGACCACAGCGAAGCCACGGTGAGGAAGAGCAAGGCGCTGGCCCTATCCTCCAGCAGTGAGGGAGGCAGAGAGGCACTAGGACACTTCAGGACAGGACAAGCAGCTGGAAGTGCCCAGAGAGCTTCAGAGGACCAGAGAGGGCAGAGCCACCTAGGAGGGGCGGTTTCTGCTATGCCTGGAAGGACCGCAGCCAGGGGCATAGGGAGGCCGGAGCTCAGGTGTCAGACCAGAATTCTGGAATGAAATGGGAGGCCACTCACGGTGAAGGGATAAGTGTGACTTGGATCCCCCAAATGTGTTCTGCCTCATCCCAGTCTCCACTTCTCCCTGGCTATCTCACCCATTTCCACGGCTCCTTTTGCAGATAAAGCTCCAATCTACTCTTTTCAGCTCCGTGCTTTCCTGAACCCCAGACTCACCCAGTAGCCATGAGGACATCTCAGCAGGAGGCCTGGACATCTCAGCAGGAGGCCTCACAGGCGCATTAAGCTTTGATGGTCCCATCCCCAAATGGTTCCACCTGATTCCCGCACTTCCCGACTCAGGGCACAGGGCCGCCATTCTCCAAGCTGCCAGAAACCGTAGCACTGGCCTTCTGCCCACCTCCTCCTCCCCACTCAGAAGGAATCTCTAAGTTCCTCCCTCATCGCCACTGACTCACCCACCTATCGCATTTTCACTGACCTGCCCCCAACCCTTACCATCACCACTAAGTTCAAACTTCCTACCAGGACGACTCTGGCCCTTCTCCCTCTCCTCTGCCAACCCTTCTAGCACTGTCTTTTGCCCCCACTGAACCCCACGCTGTACACATGCGTGGTGGAGAACCCCTTGCAAGTTTCAGAACAGCACTCACTGTTCCTTTGGCCTCCATGTGGACTCTCCTCTGTCTATAAAGCCCTCCTGGTCTCCATCCCCTTGCCTGACTTACTTCCTCTCATCTTCACACTCACTGGGGACACCATCGTCTCCCAATAGCTTCCTGGACTCCCCACACCCAGCAGAGACCCTTCCACAGCTCTCCACAGCTTGTGCGATCATCCCCTTCCCTGTCTGGAGCCCCCGCTGAAGTGTGTTACTAAGGGTGGGGACCAAGCCTGCCTTTTTCCAGCCAGCATCCAGGCACCTAGAATTCCGACTAATACATATTAGGTGTTCAGGACAAAATTGCCAAACGAGATTTTCTAAGGAGACTCTCCTTGTGGATGGGGACATCTGTCCACAGGCACCGGAAATGCTGACCCTCCCCACATTGGCTGACTTACTTGCAAACACTGCCTATTTGCAGATCAGTTCCAGCTGTTTGTTCCAACTGTTTGCCTATCAATCCCTCTGATGATTCTTCCTGCAGTACCTCTGGAACCCTTGATAAATCCTTGTTCCTATGCCTTACCTCTGCCATCAACATGGAAGACTTCAAGATCATTTTAAGAACCTAGGAGTCCTAGTTGGATATTTCCTCTTCTATCAGCTACCCAGCAAAAAAGAGAGAAAATATCAATGCAGGCCAGGCGCGGTGGCTCAAGCCTGTAATCCCAGCACTTTGGGAGGCCAAGACGGGCGGATCACGAGGTCAGGAGATCGAGACCATCCTGGCTAACATGGTGAAACCCCATCTCTACTAAAAAATACAAAAAACATGGTGAAACCCCATCTCTACTAAAAATACAAAAACTAGCCAGGCGAGGTGGCGGGTGCCTGTAGTCCCAGCTACTCGGGAGGCTGAGGCAGGAGGACTGGCACAAACCTGGGAGGTGGAGCTTGCAGTGAGCTGAGATCCGCCACTGCACTCCAGCCTGGGCGACTGAGCGAGACTCCGTCTCAAAAAAAAAAAAAAAAAAAGAAAAGAAAATATCAATGCAACAGATGCTTCCTTTCTTATATTTTAAAAGTATTCTCTAATCGTAACAAGGCAAGCAACCCGTGTTTGTTTCCTCAGACAATCCACACTCGGCAGAGACACGTGAACGTTCACATGACTAGCCTGGTATTAAATTAGGGTAGGGTGGGGCAGTGGGATCAAGTGCCCCAAGGAAGTATAAACCCAAGGGTGATGGCATCCAGAGGGACCCAAAACAGTGGGGCTACATTCTGGTTCCATCTTTTGCCATTCTGTGACTTTAGAGATTTCCTCTTTCAGAATAAACAGAAGAATATCGGGTGGAGTGACTGTGAGGACCACATTAGGCCAGAATCTAGGACCATCTGTGTGCTTCTCCTTGAAGAGAAGGAGGCGGATTTACGTGATTTGTGGCAGGGGCAAGAGGGGAAGGGTGCTCAGTAAATGTTTGCAGAATGAATGGGCAGCACATTCTGGCCAGGATAGACGGTCTTCTCCACCTGCCGATGTGGGTCACCACCCAGCCAGGGCCACAGCACACACAGGCTGGAATCCTGTTGAAGCAGAGTGAGCTGACCTGGCTGAGATGTCAATGTTGCTAGGATGTTGACACCCTCTTAAAATGGCAGTCTGTTATTTTACAGCAATCAGAAGAATTATACTGTTTGAAGAATGTTTAAAACGTTTATGCTCAAAGATAAGGAAACTAATAATGACTAGCAATTCTTATGCGCTTAACTGTGTATGCACCAGGTGTTGGTCCATTTACTGAATATGAGTGCCCATGACAATCCAGTAAGGTTGGTTGATACTATAATTATGCCCATTTTGCAGAAGAGGAAAGTGAGGTACTAAGAGGTTAGACAGCTTGGATTCTGTCACAAAGCTCCCAAATGGCAGAGATGGGATTTAAACAGAACGTTTGACTCCAAAGCCCACTCCAAATACCACGTTGTCTCACATTTCTAGGATGTTTATCCCCTCATCTTCTCTTCAGGGCAGTTTTAGAGTCTGATTACCATGAACTACTGGGCACCCATAGCCCACATGGACGAGAGATTGAGTTTCTGTTTCAAGAGGGCTCTCAGGTCGGAGAAGCTCTAAGGGGCAGTTTCCTTGGCCAACGCTCCTTGAGGGGAGAGAGCCAGCATCTGCTTAGGCTTGGTTGATTCTCTCAGCGTGTGGTTTGGGTTAGGAAAATATCCCCCATCCAAAACATCCATATTTAGTCTCCAAGTGGGATGGGGCAGGCAGAATCCACAAGCAGAAAGCTGGGAATATGGCGATTGAGAAAACAAGCCTTTGCTAATTTTAAATGTGAGACTCAGTCAGTCTAGACCAGATCCTCCTGTTGCTTTTTTTTTTTTTAATGACTACACCCCTCCTTTTTTTTCTCTCATTCTTTTCAACTTATTTCTTCAACTGCTGAACCTATAAAATGGGATGTTTCCTATGTGTTCAGGCAACAACCCTTAAGAAACTGGGGTTTTTCTGTTTGTTGGGTTCCTGGGCAGGTAGGTGTGAAAGTGTGTGTGTGTGTGTATGTGTGTGTGTGTGTGTAAGAGAGAGAGAGAGAGAGATGGGGTGGATGCAGCAGACAGGTAGGAAAGAAGACAAAGAAGATGGAGAGCCAGAAAAGATTGTCCCATTTTTAAAATTAAAAAAAATTTTTTTTTTTTTGAGATTGAGTCTTGCTTTGCTAGCCAGGCTGGAATGCAGTGGTACCATCTCAGCTCACTGCAACCTCCACCTTCTGGGTTCAAGCAATGCTCATGCCTCAGCCTCCCTTGTACCTGGGACTACAGGTGCATGCCACCACACCCAGCTAATTTTTGTATTTTTAATAGAGACGGGGTTTCACCACATTGGCCAGGCTTGTCTCCAATTCCTGACCTCAAGTGATCCGCCCGTCTCAGCCTCCCGAAGTGCTGGGATTACAGGTGTGAGCCACCGCGCCCAGGGATTTTTTTTTTTTTTTAATTTCAAGCTTTCCCACCTTACTTCTACTAATTTCAGTGAGTAGGGCTCCTGTGGGTAACTAACTCACCTGGCCCCCAGTGCACACCACAGGTTCATTCTCTCCCAGTGGCTTTGCCCAAATCCCTCTGCAAAGGCTCTTAAAACCAAGGAAGTATTTCAACATCAAAACAAGGGAGGTCTGTGTGCCCAGGCATCACAACACTGACCTCCACGGAAGCACCTTGCAGCGCAACTGTGACCACTCTGGAAGCACCACAGAGGCTCTACCCACACCCAGATTCCCTAACAGGGGTATAGCACTAAGTGGCCAAGACACGGAAGGCCCTCGCCTATGCCAAGGCCTTCTCACCCAAACAGTCGCCTGTGTCCCTGTCAGCACACAATTTAGTCTGGGCTTTGGCTGGGAAGTGACAAGAGTCTTATTTTTTAATGTCATTTGCCAATTAATTAGGATTATACTTGAAATCATTGAAAAAAGGGAGAGGCACAAAATACACATCAGAAAACTTAAGATACATTCTACCTGGTCTTTCATTCCCTGAACATCATTTTCTCCCGTAAGAAAGAACATGAGGTGAAATACCTCAAGTTCTGTGAGAAATATACAAGTACTATAACTCGTTGAGAGAATAACTTATTAAAAAAAATCAAAGAAACTGACGGCAGAAGCCGAGCCCCCACCTGATCCATGCTTTCAGAGGCATCTGTGTGGCCCACCTTGATTCTCAGGTGTGTGTGGACTAAGAGCAAGCCTGCCCACTAAGCCACAGCCCGTGGTCTGCCTGTAAATGGCACCCACCTGCTCAGCTAATCCTGGCTTCTCTGGGCCCCTCTTGAGTGGACATGGCCACAAGCTTGCATGTTATTTGATCAAGTGCCACAGGCTTAATGGGGCTCCTGCCCGTTAATCATTCAAGGCCATAAACGAACAAACAACTCACAATGTATTTCACACAAGCATTAGAAACAAGTATTTTAAGTTTATGTTAAAAAAATAAATAAACTGGCGCAGGATACAGGAGGCAGACTCCATCCATCCTACCCCACCCCTCCATAAAGGGCTGTGTGAGAGACAGGTCTGGGAAAACCCCCAGAGAAGCACCACCTCTCTGTTCCAGGCTCTGGAGGGTCACACACCCAGGGGTGTCCCTGGTGGGCTGTGTGTATCTCCATCACCGAGCCTTCCCCTGGTGACATGTAATTTCTCCCTCCCTACTCCCCTCTCTGACCACTTAGAAGGTCCCTCTTTGGGACTGTGATTCCTGTTTGTGTCACGATTACTCAGGGCACCCCATACTCACTCCTACGTGGAGAGGGAGCTTAAGGGTAGGGGATTCCGGGCCGGAAAACCAGCGACTCCGGTAGGGAAGGGGAGGTCAAGAACCAGCCACTGGCAGACGCTCCTGGAGGCTGAGCCCCCAGCGCACAGACCCAGGTCCTTTCCCTATCTCTCTCCGCGAGGCACGGAGAACCAAACACACTGGGAAGACAGCCAGACAGCGGCCACTGTCCTCCACCGCGACGCCGCGTCTAAGTCTACTCTCCCGGGTGGATTTCGGCGCACGAACCCTGCAACCACGGAACAAAGCGGCAGAAGAAAAAGACCCGAGCTCGGGATTCCGGACCGCGGGACTCGAGGGGACCCGAGCCAATGTCCTGCACTATCCACAGAACCTTATTCAGATGGTGGTCACTCCCACCCCGCCCCCATGACCTAATAATGGCAACTATGGACCTGCTACGCAAAACAGAACTCGTCGGCCCAGCCTTTGTAATCTGCACATTTCAGGCGCCCAGGACACCTTGAAGGTCTAGTGTAATCCTTCCGTTGTGCAGCTGAAAAATACTGAAGACCCCGGAAGGGAATTCCGTCACAAGTCCCCTAAAGACAGCATTGCATCTGGGGTCCCTAGGTCACACGCGCCTGCCCACGCGCTTTCAAAGCAGGACCATAACCCAACCCTGGACAGGAGCCCAACTCCTCCTTGAATTACCGATAAACTTCTGGAAGGAGCCCAACTCCTCCTCGAATTACGGGTAAAATACTGTGGGCAAGTTATTATACACTTCGGTGTGCCTCTGCTTCTCATCTGTGAAATGGGCGTGATAATAACAGTATTGTAACACCTGGCGAGGAATCATGATTCAATACAAAGTGATTGGCCACCCTGCACCCCCAAAGTTCCGTCTCGCTCCTAAACTATTCGTTAATTAACCTCGGAACAGTCATTGCATTTTGCAAGAATTTGGGGGACTCCACTTTCATCATTTAGGAGCGCGTGTGCACAGCGTTGTAGTGAGATTTAAGAGATTAAACTTTACAGAGATGGGCACAAGGTTTGGCACAACGATTAACTGCAATAAATGGCTATTGTTGTTGATCAGCCTCATCCCAGCTTCCGTCGGGGCCCCGCTTCCCAGCCTGCGCAGGACACCTGCCCGGCACGCACAGAGGGGTGCTCACCTGGTCGGCGCCGGGGAGCCGTTGCGGGACGACTCGGAAGAAGACGCAGAGAGGCAGAGCGGCGACCGCCGAGTAGCCCCAGATGAGCGCCAGCAGCACTGCCCGCGCCCGCCGCCCAGGACCCCTCACGCCGCGCTGCAGGTGCACGATGCACACCATGCGCTCTAGGCTGACCGCGGCCAGCGTGAGGATGGTGACGCTGCCGCTCAGGGTCATCACGTAGAAGAGCAGGTGGCAGGCAACGGGGCCCAGCAGCCATGCCTCGGTCCAGCGCACGGCCAGCACCAGAGGGATCGCACTGATGAAGAGTAGGTCGGCGCAGAAGAGGTTGAGCACCAGGCAGGCAGTCGTGCCGCGGCGTCGTCGGCGCGCCACCAGCACCAGAGCGCACACGTTGCCCAGCAGCGACACTGCAAAGATGAGCGCCAGCACGGTTGTCTCCACTGCGGCCAGCAGTAGCCGGTGGTCGCCCTTGACGTCGGAGAAGAAGGAGAAGCGGGTGCGGTTGGCTTGCTCCAGGCTGCGCAAGGGCGCGTCGCCCGCTGCCCGCGCGCATTCAGGGGACATTCCCGGCGCCTGGCGGCCCGCAACGGTCTGAGAGAGTGCTCATCTGGGAGACTACTGAGTGCCAAGGCGGGGAAAGAGGGAGGGAGGCGGTTGCGAAATCTCACCTCTGGCCCCCTCCCTTCTGAGGAGCGCTAGCGCTGGGTGCAGGGAGCTGCGCCCGGGGCGCGCGGGAACGAGGAAGTGCCCGACAACACTGGCTGCAAACACCACAACTGGGCGGGGAGGTGGAGGCCTAGCCGGAAGCCTCGCGCCCTCTGGCCATTTTAAAGTGTACTCAGAAGCCAGAAAACTCACTCAGCGAATTCCTCGAGCCCCCGCAGGGCCTGCCTAACCTCCTTCATCCTTCAGGGACACTGGATGTGCGAAGCCTTTTGTGAACGGATTTAGCTAAAATTGATTTAAAAGTGTCAGAGCTGGCCTTTGGAGATTATTTTGGCCTGTGTCGTTCAGATTTTACTAAAGAAACTCCATGGGTCTGGAGGTAGATCCTAAAGCAACTTGTAATGAGTCCATATTTTTTGTGGGGGAGAGAGGTAGTGGAGATCTTTTATCACTACTTAATAACAGATCTTTAGGTGGATTATCTACTCCCTCTACCCCAGATTTTTAATCTATAAAATGGGAATAATAATACCTCATTAGGTTATTGTGAGGCTCACCTAGAGTTTGGCACACTTGGCACACAGTAATTACTCATTAAATGTTATCAAATGTTATTGTAACTAAAATGCATATATATTTTGCATTCTGAACAATGACATAAAATGCTTTCTTGTAAAAAGGGTGAGTCCTTCCAAATTTTTTAATAAACTTGCCATCCCGGGAAGACAGATATTTCAACGCCAGATACACACACAAGCTATAAATGTGCCCCAGGTGCCACAGTCTGAGGAGCACTGGGCAGTCCAGTCCTGTTAGAGATAAGGAAACTGAGGCCCAGCCAGAGTGACTTGTCTAAGCTGTCCTCTGGTTAGTAAGGAAAGTCAGTCACCTGTCCCCGTCCCACGTATTTCCATCACACCACTGCAGTCCGGTTTTCTGTAAATGAGGAAGCTGGAGATGGAAAAGTATGCCTGTGGCCTAAGATCCAGTGGCCACTTCCCCAACCAGCCACCCTCCTACCACCCACACCTTCACCCCGTCTCCCTTCTGCCACATTACCAGGCCTCTCCCAGTTGCCCATTCTGTCTTCTAATTGTCTTTCTTAAGGTTGGATCTTAAGAAATCTAAGTGCTGACTGGGCGCAGTGGCTCATGCCTGAAATCTCAGCACTTTGGGAGACCGAGGCGGGTGGATCACTTGAGGTCAGGAGCTCCAGATCAGCCATGGCCAACATGGTGAAACACTGTCTCTACTAAAAATACAAAAATTAGCTGGGCGTGGTGGTGGGTACTTGTAATCCCAGCTACTTGGGAGGCTGAGGCAGGAGAATTGCTTGAAACCAGGAGGTGGAGGTTGCGGTGAGTCAAGATCACGCCACTGCACTCCAGCCTGGGTGACGGAGCGAGACTGTCTCAAAAAAAGAAAAGAAAAGAAAAGAAACCTAAGTACTTCAGGCTGGTTGCGTCAGTCGCAAGTACTGTCTGGGGAGGGGGTCCGTTTGTGTGTCTGCTTTTCATGGTATCAAACGGGTCTGAGCTGATAATGTGTCTTCTAACCTGAGAAGTAGATGCTCAGCTTGAACACTGACTAGGTTCGAGTTGAAAAACAGAACTGGTTTGCTTCCTGAAACAGTTGAAAAAGGGCAAAAAATTGAAATAAAGGGAATTCAGACAAATGGGGTTTTGGCAATTGTCTGATTAGGGTCAGGGGATATTAGTGTTTGTGTGAGGGAAAGGAAACTATATGTATATGTACGTGTGTGTGTGTGTGTGTGTGAGAGAGAGAGAGAGAGAGAGAGAAAGCAAGAGGGAAAACACAGAGAAAGACAGAGAGAGATTGATTACATCACAGGTTGGTGTGATATAGACACAGAGAGGTTTCCCCAGAATGTACAACCAGGGTGGGCTCTCTGCACTCAAAGGCCTTCTCCAACATTAACCTCCTGGGTTCTACCAATGGTGAAATGTTGAGTGCAGAGGCTCATAAACTTTCTGCATTCACAGCACCTTCATGGTACCCCTAGGCTAAAAGAAAAACCAAACAGAAACAGTTTCTTTTTTTAAGTAGCTGGGTTCAAACAACTTAATAAGACTTTGTATCCTAACAACTTAGTAACTATCTTGGAAAATAATAATACATATAAATTGGGGTAAAAATTTTGTTGTTTCATTCTTTTTTGATTTTTATTTTTGAGAGGGAATCTCTGTCACCCATGCTGGAGTGCAGTGGCGCCATCTCAGCTCACTGCAAGCTCCGCCTCCTGCGTTCAAGCGATTCTCCTTCCTCAGCTTCTTGAGTAGCTGAGATTACAGGCGCCCACCTCCACACCCGGCTAATTTTTGTATTTTAGAGTACAGATGGGGTTTCACCATGTTGGTCAGGCTGGTCTCAAACTCCTGATCTCAAATGATCCACCCACCTCAGTCTCCCAAAGTGCTGCGATTACACATATCCGACCTGTTGTTTCATTCTTAAATAACCACAGTAAGGCCAGGTGCAATGGCTCACTCCTGTAATCCCAGCACTTTGGGAGGCTGAGGCTGGAGGATCACTTGAGCCCAGGAGTTCAAAACTAGCCTGGGCAACATAACCAGATCCCACCTCTACAAAAAATTAAAAAAAAAAAAAAGATAGCTGGGCATGGGGGCTTGTACCTATAGTCCCAGCTTCCTGGAAGGCTAAAGTGGGAGGATGGCTTGAGCCTGAGAGGTCGAGGCTACAGTGAGCTATGGTCATGCCACTGTACTCCAATGTGGGCAACAGAAAAAGACCCTGTCTCAAAAAAAAAATTTTTTTTAAACCAACAACAATAGCTTCCTGATGGGCTGGGTGCACTTGTTACACTCTGCACAGGTTTTCAAAACAAAATCATATTGAGCACTGCTATCCTCCTTTCCTGCTCCACGTTGATTTTAATGCAGTCCCTGCTTTTTATCACAGCAACTCCTAAACACTCAGCTTTGTAAAGGTACAATGTCATGAACTGAATGCTGGAACTGTGAATTACCTAGCAGAGCTAGCAGTTCATGCAGAGCTGGATGGGTGTTGAGCAACGCCATTTCCCTGCGGTACCCGAGCACATGTGGGCACTAGCCTTTGAGGACCAGAGCCCTGGTTGGACAACTCGCTGTGTGACCTTGGGCAAGTTACTGTAGCTTCATAGAGTTTCAGTCTTCCCATATATGAAAGGGGATAGTGATAGTACTGACCTCGCAGGGTTTGGGGAAGATTAAATGAAGTTCCTTTATGTAAAGCATTTAGCATAGTGGTCACTGAGTGGACACGGTGGGTCAGGCTCTGTGGTCAACACTGTATATGGATTATGGACACAACTCTGCTGACAGTCCCAGTTTATGATACTATTATTATTATTGGAGACAAGGTCCCACTCTGTCACCCAAGTTGGGTATAGTGGCATGGGCATAGCTCACTGCAGCCTGGAACTCCTGGGCCCAAGTGGTCCTCCTGCCTCAGCCTCATGAGTAGTTGGGACTACAGGTGCACACCACCATGCCCAGATAATTTTTTTATTTTTTGTGAGGTGAGGTCTTGCTATGTTGCCCAGACAGGTCTTGAACTCTTGGTCTCAAGCAATCCTCCCACCTTGGCCTCCCAAAGTGCTGTGATTATAGGCATGAGACGCCATGGTCAGCCCCAGTTTATGAAATTATTAGAACCTTTTTCATTCTCAAATTGCCCTGGTTTGGAGGATAAAGCATATGGCCATCCTTCCTTTGCGTTTGCTAACTCATTCACTTCCCCCACAAGTTGCAAACATTGGGATTTGAATTGAGACAGTCTGATTCCAGAGTCTTCGCTCTGAACCACTAGAGCAGTGCATCTTTACTGGGGGAGATTTTGCTGCAACCCCCACGCTCGGACATTTTGTCTTGTCTGGAGCCATTTTTAGTTGTCATAACTGGGAGATTGCTACTGATATCCAGTGCCAGGGACGCTGCTGCTAACATCCTACAATGCACAAGACATTCCCCATAACAAAGAATTGTCCAGCCCAAAATGTTGATAGTGCTGAGACTGAGAAATCCTGTGCGCTTGAGACCTCACAAGACTTTACCTCTTATTTTTAACCCTGTCATGGGATCACATCTAGTGGCAAAAGCCAAAAATGTTACCATTTTTTCTCATAGAGATTTCACCACAACCTCTGTGACCCCTTTAACCAACCCATCGGGCTCCGTTTTGTGTTCGGGCCCCAGATGTGCACAGCTGTGAAATCCCTTTCATACACGGGGCTGGGTGTGGCGTCCTCAGGGTAGACAGACTTCACATATTCCTTGGAGACTGGACAGCAGATACCTGTAGGCTGATCCATCACTGTGAAAGTCATATTTATTGCCCATGGTATTAGTTCTTTACCTCTTCCACTCTCAGATAAAACCATAGAAACCGAGACAAGGATCCACCAAGCGTAAATCTGGACAGTCTCGTTTCTAAGCTAAAGAGAAAGACAACATTTCAGGTGGCTTCTGTACCTCTTTATATTTCCAACCAAACAGGAGGGGAGAGGTGCACAGGGGACTTTCTCTGTGTATGCTTTTCTTTTCTTTTCTCTCCCTCCCTCCCTCTCTCTCTCTCTCTCTCTCTCTCTCTTTCTTTCTTTCTTTCTTTCTTTCTTTCTTTCTTTCTTCTTTCTTTCTTCTTTCTTTCTTCTTTTTCTGTCTTTCTTTCTTCTTTCTTTCTCTTTCTTCCTTTCTTCCTTCCTTCCTTCCCTTCCTTCCTTCCTTCCTTCCTTCCTTCCTTCCTTTCTTTCTTTTCTTTCTTTTCTTTCTTTTCTTTCTTTCTTTCTTTTTCTTTCTTTCTTTCTTTCTTTTCTTTTCTTTCTTTCTCTCTCTCTCTCTCTCTCCCCCCCCCCTCTTTCTCTCTCTCTCTTTCTCTCTTTGTTTCTTTCTTTTTTCTTTCTTTTGCTCTTTTTTGAGACAGAGTCTCTCTCTGTTGCCCAGGCTGGAATGCAGTGGCGTGACCTTGGCTCACTGCAACCTCCACCTCCCGGGTTGAAGTGATTCTCCTGCCTCAGCCTCCTGTGTAGCTGGGTTCGAGACCCGTCTTTTTAGTAGAGATGGGGTTTTGCCATGTTGGCCAGGCTGGTCTCATACTCCTGACCTCAAGTGATCCACTTGCCTTAGCCTCCCAAAGTGCTGGGATTCCAGGTGTGAGCCGGTTTTCTTATTTTTCCTCTGGAAAAATATTATAAAGTTGGGATGAAAATGCTTACTGGTTCATTGCTCCCCCTCCAAATCTCTCTGTGAGAGTCTGTCCATCTGTCTGTGTATGTATGTATCTGTCTGTCTGTCTGTCTATACCTATCAGTTCTGAGACATATGCCTTTCCAGGTTCGGGGTATCTCTTTGCAAAATTAGGATATATTATAGAGCAGAATGCAAAGGCTGCTGACCCTTGGGCAAAGATTTCAAGTCTCTCCTGCCTCTTTCCTCCCACCTTGTCAAGGTGAGACCCCTCCCAGATGCCCAGGCTCAACCGCCCTGAGCATTCACAGCTGGGCACCCACCTCAGCCAGGCCAGAGTAGGGTGACGGGGAAAGACCACCTTGTACCCTGATGGTGGTGCAAGGCCCCTTCTTCAAGGAG